CAAAACTTTAATTTATAGTTCAAGGATATTCTTAAATACTAAATGACAAAATGCAATATTACCGAATGACATCAAACGGAAAACAAAATCTCGAATTACTTAATTTTTTTAACCGATGTCCCAAGGAAAGCGAAAAGTTTTGCGAGGCTGAAAACTTTTTTAAAAAGTCAAAAATTTTTTTTATTAAATACCCTGGTTAATTTTATCATACAGTAATCAAACATTAATAGTCCAAAGGGGCTTTGTTCCTGAAGGACTATTGTTTTCGTTTTGCGATTTTGCGTTGAATCACTATATAAATGCCCGCTTCACTTTTCAAACTGTTGCCACCAAATGTTAGAGTCTTGCACTATATTTGAAGAAATTAAATAATCAAAAATCTGCATAAATGTATGTCTATTTGTTGCATTGTGATAAAACAACGGTACATAGAGCCATCGAATTTTGAATGACTTCATCCTCCTACGAATATGGGCATGTGGAAGACCAAATTTGAAATTTGGAATTTGTTTTATGATCAATTTCATATTTTGTAAAACTTTAACGGATTTTTGAGTAACAAACTCAACGATTTAAAAGCGAGCAATGGCAACATTCTATCGGGGGGGGGCAAACCTTTTTATCTCCAGCGGGCGCGGAACTGTGTGTATCTAAATCGGAAATCTAAAGTGTATCTAAAGATATGCTTATTTTAAAATTATTTTACGACATTTCTACTGAACTGAATTTTACGGTTTAAGTGCAAAGAACATGATAAAGGTAGCACACAAAACTTTAAAAAAACGCACCTTTGGACGTAATTTAAAATCTAAAAAACCTTCCATTTTATTTTATTTTTTTTATTTTTTATTTATTTATTTTTTTTTAAGAGTATAATTTTTTTTAGTATAACTATATTAACCCAAGAACCGCAAAAAATATAAATTTCACGATTTTTCTGAATAAAATTAAAAGTACTATAGTGTGGATATTATGTTATGATTTAAAATATTTTTGTATTTAAAAGTATAGGTCTACGACCTATGAGAAACGGTGAATGAAGGCGGCCTGAAGGCTTTTATGAACACGCCATAGACGATAGTGTAGTATAACAGAAAAGTAATTATAAATTTTTTAAATTACTTCTTAAATAATTTATCCTGCTAAGATTGATATGAGACGTATATTTATAGCATGGAAGATAGATGAAAGATTTTAGGCGTATTTACTTAGTAACAACTTTCATTCAGTAACATTTTGTTGTTTGACTTCTGAATTAGAACTTTCATTTCCGCGTCTGCTTTTTATTCGTGACGGATAAACCCGCTGCACGGATGTAATAACATCCTTACAAATAGTTAATTATTACATCAGTTGCTTGTTTTTAAGTGATCAAAGAGTGCAATTTTTTATAGTATATACTATATAGGATTGCTATACGGAAATCCGGCCTAGGTGTGCTGAACACTTGGAAACATGTGGATATTATGATTATCCGGATTACTTTCTTCCAGCATGCTTTCGTAGTGTAACGGTAGCACACTCAGCACGTGTACAATGTATAAAAAAACATTTCTTACCTTTCTTAATTTCAAGAATTTCATGGAATTTTTATTGCTTTAAAACATTAAGGCAAAATATTTGTGTTTTGATTAAAGACAACGAAGCAAAAAAGTCTGGATTTTATTAAGTAAAAAATTATTTCAAATTTCCTTCATAAAATAGGCACTTTAGTATCATAACAACCTTGTCCTCATTTATGATCGTAAGCTCTATCATCATCATTGGACAGATTAGAGATCAAATAAGATTGGATCAAATCAGAGAATTCGATCGTCTTCCGGAGCAGTCGTTACCATGGTTATGAGGCAAGCTAGAAGGGAGAAAATGGTTTCGAAGTGCCTATTTTAAAGTATCAGACATTATCCTAGAAAAATAGCTCTTGATCATTTTAAGTGCATAAAAGTAAATAGCCATATCCATTTTTCATTAGAGAGATATAGTTGCTCCTTTTTTTATACAGTTTAAAAAGGTATTTAAACCATTGACAAAAAAGTTAATATGAATGCATATTCTGTGTATTCAACTCCTATAAAACAATCTTCAAAAGATTTACGGGCTTTTATTAACATGGTCAGAATTTTTGTTGTTTTGAAATCTAAATGTTGTTAATGACGGTTGTAATTTTTTTTAAGGTGCTGTGTAAGGCAAACGACCTATGGTGTCAAGTGATTTTCAGTCGTCTGGGAAAAAAATATTTTTCAGTGAAATGATGTTTAGTGGCAATGCTCATTTATTTTATCAGAAATACTGGTCACTTAGTGGTCATAGCCACAAGAAGGTTCAGTATAGTAGCTGCTGAAAAGTGTTCCTACAATTCAATGATTGAACAATATGAATATTTTTCATACCATTCAATGACTATTGTAAGTGTATGTTCCTTTCAGACTATCTTTCATGGTTCCCACTCTTATATGATATATTATGAGTATCCGTTTCATATTACCATTAGAATGGATGCTGAAATTACTGTATTTAGAGATCTTATTTCGTTAGCGATTTCTTCGAAAAATAAATGTAAACAATTTTTAAATTAGCAATAAATTGATGATCTGAAGTTTGGAACTTCATTACATTCAGTAGCAACATAATAACTTAGATCAGTGGTATCAATATGGCGGCCTTTCAAAGCAATTTGATATGGCCCGCGAATATATTTCAGTTACGTTTACCTGCTGCAAATAGTGGATTCGAAAGATCTAGGTATTTTGAATTACTTGAAGTCCGAGTTTACCTTATTTTCATTACCATTAAAATGAACGTGAATAACGCGTTAGAAAATCTGTAAACGGAGCTAATTTATTTATAATGTGATCTTCGAATTAAATTTTTGATTGGTATTTACAATCTGTAATTTCGGTATTTACAATCTGTAATGAAGATAATTTCTATTATTTTCTTTCTAAGACTAAAAAACTTTATTAGAATCGAATCCCATGATACGTCATGTTGTAGTAAGAAATATAAAAAATAATATTTATTTACGTATGAAATGTATTTTTAATTATGCGTAGAAGAAAAATTTAAGAGATAAGAGAAAGAGACTAGGTTATCATTATTTATTCTCAAGATTTATCCCACTTGATAAATTTTCTCTGAAAAATTATAAATTTTTATGATTTATTTTAGTTTAAAAAATAAAAATACGTTATATAATGATTAATTAAACGTATTAGAATTATTTAAAGAAATAGTATTACTCTGAAAATTTATTATTATATGTCAGTACATTTGAATTACAAAGTGAAACAAAAATGTCTTGCAGGTACCAAACTTTCCATTTCAGATAGAAAATAAACATAAATTTGAAACTTTTCCCTTTGCAATATCGCTATTATTATTATTGTTGTTTATGAATATTCTGATAAAATTAGTAAGCAGGATTTAAAATTTACTTAATATTTTTATTTTGTTAATAAAACATTTTAATTTTACTTTAAAAATATATTCTGGTTCATCATTTGTTTTCAGAACGTGCATGCGTTCCGCATGTAATTTGAATTTAGAACCACTGATTTAGATAGTATATTAATTGTTACGTAATACTGTTTATAAATTTCAACATTGTTTTAAAAAAACTTTTATGTTATTATAATAGAAAATTTAAAGTAAAAAAGCATTTAGAAATTCATTTATACCATCAAGTTCTACTGAATTCAAATTTTTCATATGATCTGAATTAAATTTTCATAACAAAATAATGTATAATTATTAGTTATACCCAATTAAAATTTAAATATCCATCCTTTCTTTAGAGTATCCTATACTTTGTATTTATTCCTACTGCTATTTACAAATATTTTATGATCTCTTTATTTAATGTGTAGTGCGCTCTCATTAATTTTAACATTATTTTACACATAATATGACTAAAAAAAACTTTCACCTCCAGCATCTGGATATACTCAATATCCGCCTAAAAATCAATCTGAATATTGGATAGTTGATCGCTTTAAAATTCGTTACATTAATAGTAGTATATAAATGTACACAATTTATCTACAAAGTTTAAAGAGTGAAGCTTTTTAAACGAACCAAATAATGTTCCCGAACGATCAATTATTACTAACATATATCGTCTGCTTAGGAAAAAGAATTTGAATTGAATTCTTTGTTTGATTTTATGCAGCAAATATTTGTCGTTATAGACTCAGTGACTAAACAGAGAAGAAACACAGTTCTCACTGTAATAAAACGTAGCGACTGTCAAGCAGCTCACTACCAAACAGATGTGTAACTTTTTACTTAATGTATTTCCATACATTTTCAGATTACTTTCTGTCTCTCTGACAATATGAATTGTAAATCAAATAAAAATAACGCATCCTAAAATAAAACGAAATAACGAAAGAAAGGCTGCTAAATTATGATAACAAGGCGCTGTTCACAGACGATTTTAATCTTCTGTGAACAACGCTTGTTATCGCTTTCGAGCAAATTATATGATATCAAGTAAACCTGTTTCTTTGGTATGGCTTTTAATATATTTAAAGTTTTCATGACTGAATGAGTATAGAGTCCATAACTACTCTTTTTTTCTGAATATATAACATTTCGAAATGGGGTATTTATTCCACAAGTGTTCAGAGTTTTATTTTGCCATTTCTGGGAGAAATAAGGCACCATTAAATAACAGGCTTCACTTCGAGTTTTACTAACTGCTAAAATAAAAGTTACGTTTATAACATAATGTTTTCTTCACTTTGTGATTCAGTTTGTACAGAAATGAAGAAAGTGCCGGAACTTATTTTAGAGCTCCGTTAGACTCTGTCTGGAATTATGAGTTCATTCTAAAACTGATAAATACTGGAGCCATATGTGGAATATTCTAATAAAATAGCTAGTAAGTACACATACAAAGCGATATATGCGTAGAAGTTAATAATTATATCAAAATTGTTCTTCAGATTAGCTTATTATAATAATATGTATTAATATTTAAAAAAAAACAAGCATAAACATACATTTTTCAAATTGTTTATTTCAATTGTATAAAAATTTTGTACATGCACTTCCATAGGAACAGAGTCAAAAATTACCCTAAAAACGGATTTTCGAGATGAAATAAGCTGAGCTTGAAGAGATGCGAAGAATATACAGATGAAAAGAACGGAGACGTAAGTTTGAAATATTTCAAATCAGGTTATTTGTACATTTCTATATAAGTCTAGCTTGACATGAATTAAGATTTCAGTCAGCTTTTAGATACAGTAAAACCATTCCATCCTGTTTATAAAAACAGATTGATTTTGTTGTCTGAATTTAAGATTATTGATAGCAAGGCTGCTATTTTCTAGGAACCGTGACAGTTATCTACATATATAGATAACTTCTGCAAATACAAGGGAATATATCTGCAGAGGTATTTAAATATTCACAGAGGTCTGTGGGAATTATACGTATTCGGCAACACATTTGTCGTTTAATGCCAGTTTTCTTATATTTAATGGTGTATTCGCACATTTTTCTCATTATGAGAATAATTCTAAAAGAGTAATTAAAAGAAATCAACAAAATGGTTTTGCTTTTAGGATAGGCATTAAGTCTTGGCTAAATGCAGGCTTAGTGAATGTTACTGTTAATGCTATTTTCGGATTCAGACTTTCATCTCCGTTCTGAAGTTGGAAAGCAAGAGCTTGCTGACTTGACTGAAGTCATGAAGTTTAGTACTTGGTGATGAGGGTGTTAGCATAAGTGACGTAGGCCTCTTTTGCGGCATCCTGGCCCATGCCTGAAATAAAAGTCGAAATTAAATGAAAGAATTATCAAGTGTTTGATTACAAGAACTTTTAATAATTAATTCTGCGTTATATTATATTATATTATTAAAATAATATGTCACTTTTCAATATAATGGGGTTTAGCTTTTGGTTTAACTGATTATAGCAAAGCATTCTAGGGTTATCTGCCTAAGGGAAAGGGATGACTTCGTAGAGGACTTTCTACGAGAAACTGGCTCGTATACACGTTACACATGGTGGAAACCACGAAAACGGCCATGCAGTCAGCCCGTTCGCCTAGAATCGAACCCAGATAATGATAATAAAAAAGTATATAATTTTTCCTCCTCTGAACCATCAAGTACGTACAACTTCAAGCAGCCTGTTAATTATTTTTTTTTCTTTTGGCAAAAGCTGCAGTAAAACTAGAACGCAAACTTTCTTGTACGGTTATTTCCATTATCTACATACAACCTTATCAGAAGCAAACTCTTGGCTTGATTATTTAAAAAATATTAATATTACAGAAATTGCATTAGTAATATTAAAAATACGAAACTGCATTTTTGGACGGTTACAATAATTTAAGAATGTACGTTGCAACATTGTATATAGATGGTAGCATTACAAATATGACAAGGAACTTAGCTAAAATTCCGTAGTTTTCTGTTTTTCAGTAGCTACCACCCATTCCATCGAATGAGAAATATCCAGCATAATAATGTATTAAATGAGTGCTTTAATTTATTCATTTAAGGTGTTTTGTAAGATAAACTTTTCAAATATTGTTGTGTTCCCTTGGAAACTAAAGAAATGACTTTCAATTTGATATCAAAGCTGTTGCTATGGTAAAGATACATGGCAGGAAACAAAGTGAGAAATAGGAAGTTATCGATTTTTTTGCGCTGTCTGCAAAACTCACTTTTCCTAGACTAAAATCGCTGAAATATGTTATTCTATTTTAGCCAAATTTATAAATAGATAATAATTTTAATAGCTTCCAGTGTTTCAGTTGTCTTTTTAACTGACAGACTCCTTTGCTAGATCTATTCTTCAACATACTCTTACTCTATCCATAATTAACTCAATTTTTCTCCTAAGAAGACAGCAGACGATAATCTCATCAGAAAAAAAATCACTAGGCGAAATAATATTACATCCAATTGCCCTTCCTCTCCTAAATTTCATGCCCCTCTCTGGCGAAATTTTGCAATTAAATTATAATTTATCAAAACATCGGAATTTCACTATACACAAACATCCGTTTAGTTAAAATTCTTTTGGAACATCACTACAAAACAAGCATCAGTTAACTAATACGATTCTCACTGGGCGTGTGAAGAAAATTGATTATAATTCATGAATTAAAACAAACTGAGCTGGGATACTGCAGACTTTATGATCCGAGTACTGCACATTTTCGCCTATTAATTAATACTGTGTTGTAGTAACTACATTACTCAATTATCATTATTTTTTAAAAAAATCTTCAGGAATCAAATTAGAAAATTACATTAAAAGAGTATTCGTGTCTTTGTTCACATATTTTCAACTTTCGTAGCAAATTAAAATGATTTCTATCAGTTCTTAAAGTTACATATATGTATAATCTAAGCATTCATAATGATATTAGTTTACATGTTACAAAAAACTGAAGAATTATATGTTTATTATACAAGTAAAAAAAATTACCTTTCTTGCCATTCCAGGCTTCCCATTTTGCTTTGCCTTTCAGATCGGCGGCACCAGGCTTATCTGTAAAGGAAAAATACAAATTACAAACTGAAATGCAAAGAAAAATTTAATAGAATTTTTAATAATTTTAATTTTTTGCCCTGGGACAGGAGTTTGGACTCTAATCTTTTCAAAATTAGTTAGCCGACTAAGCTTACATACCAGTTAAAGGCTTCTCGCATGTCACTTTCAAATTTCCTGTAAACTGAAATTTACAACCACTCAGTGTTTCATGACAAATACTGCCTTTTGAATCAACCAAACGATAATATTATTTAAGCGTTTAAGACATAAAAATATCGTTTGGCTTATCAGTTCCTTTACAAAACGGTATCTTAAAAAACGTCACACAAACGACTTTTGCTTTCTATAGAAAAAGGAAAGAAACTGCCAGTATCAATCTTGTTAGCCCTTTTGATTAATTATTTGTGAATTTACCTGTGCATCTGAAATTTTTAATTTTTCTCCCAATGCAAAAAGAATCCGTTGAACAAAGGTTTTTCAACATAAAAAACTCCAACAAAGTACAATGCGTTACATGGGTAAACATTAACCCATTGGTGATATGAAGATTATAGGCAAGATGGTGAAAGCAACAGTGCTGATGATCTCTCCCCCTTCCCGAAAAGAGAAGGTAAATTAATTTTTAATTATTTTTTTTTAAATCCTATGAGATTTTGTTTCTGAAAATTATTTGCAGATGGTAAAATAGAAAAAAACGCCAACTGAAATTTATCTAAACTATTCTAATAACAAAAAGAATTAAATATTTCAGTTAATCAGCCTATTTAACATAATACCCCTTAATGCCAACTATATTTTTGTTGCTTTTCCTCGCTATACGTAATAAAAAAATTCCCTCTCGAAAAAGAATTCGACACTGTGGTTACAAATTACATGATTATATTTCAGAAAATTTTTCTATGAAATACATACGGTAATAACACTAAAATTGTTTAAATAATTCTCTCTCAGATCGCAACAAACGGGCTAGAAATAAATACCTACCAATGCCACAATCTCCACAAGTTGCTTGTTTGTAGAGAGCATACAATTCAAGCAATTCGGTGTCACTGGGACGGCTTTTCATGCTCTTGACGGAGCTGGCGGCAGCACTGAATTTCTATAAAAGAAGGAAAAGAAATCCTAAAAATGTGTCACATATAAAATTTTATATATGAAGTAAATCATGCAATTATTCATTGCATAACCACTGGATAAGGAAAGAATTCTACTCGGCAAAATGCGCAAGGCCGGTTGCTTCAGAACGGTTGACTTCATAGGAAATCTCTTCAAAACGTTTGTTTGCATTTAAATCGCACTTACGAAAAAGTATATAAACTTCGAAACAGTTAGCCCATGTTACCGAAATGCAATCACAGCAATTCAACGGTCTTTTCTAATGGGGTATGGAAAGGCCCATGCAACAATCATGTTATTTCAGTCTAATAACTCAAGGGTTACAAAATGCCTTAACGAGCAAAATTCTGCCGTTTCGTATCGACAAGTTTCATTTTGAGATACTTAGCTATCAAAAGTTCAAAAGTAATTTATAATTAACAGCCAAAATTAGTTCTCTTTTCTTTAGAACCATTCTTTTTTTTTTTTTTTTTTTTTCTTTACAAACAAGCAGCGAAATTTAGTACTGGTAAATTTGTTAGCGAAGGTAAACCATTTCCTATTTCGTTAATAAAATGTATCCTTTATGAAGGGGTCAAAACGATGACGACAGTATTTTACGCAAACTGCAAGGCGTGTTCTTGCGGAAATGTTTTACACGTTTTAAAACTTTATTTCACTTAGATTGGAAATACGAACTTTTCTCGAACGCGCATATCTAACAGACTCCAGTGGACCAAACACGAACTTCTATAATCTTGTAAATGTTTGCTATAAAGTTTCAAATACTTCTGAATTTTTTGCTTATCTTTGAATGGAACATCAAGACTTTTAAATCTTTCCTTTGCACGGATGCTTTGAAATCTTAATGTAGTAAAGCGCGTGGGCTTAAAAATACAAAGCGAATATATCTTCCAACTAAAGTTTAAAGGCTAGTGATCGTTCCTTCCAGTACACCGCAAACACACACACACACACACACACACACAAAAAAAAAAAAAAAAAACAATTTTCCGTTTCTCAGTACTTCTTCAAAGTCGTGATTAATCGGCATATTCTGCAATATAAAGTGACTTTGAATACTGCTTTAACTTAACTAAACAAAGCATCATAAAATCTGTGTACATGTTCTAAAAGGATGAATGATTTTTACTCTTGGTAAAAATGTCCTCGCGGAATCGTTAAAATAGTACCATCTAGTATCGAATTCCTCTTGCGTGACAGCATAATTGCGTGAGTAAAGTACTGAAACAAAGTAAAAATAAGAAATAATTTACTATTCTTTTTTTCGGTCTGACCATTAAATATTTCGCAAGACTGCCTCAGGCAGGAAATGAGATGGCGGGAACCTTCAGCGCGCATGTGCAGTCAACAATATGGAGTGGATTTCTCCTCCTCAGACTACTCTGCATTCCTTGCTAGTAGTACTAACTTCGTCGTGGAGGGCCACGTCGATCCAAAGTTGAGCGAACTTGCCTGTAGGCTTCTTTGGCCTTTAATGGCCCCCTTCAGACTGGGCAAAGAAAGGGTAATCCTGTTACGCATGGCTCATTCTGGACACGTGACTCTTCAAAATGCCAAAGTAACTTTTCCAATTCTGATCTTGGTCCCATACCCTACCTGAAATTCTTTAGTCGCGTCTACAATCATCGATTGTAAGAAAGGGGAAAGGTGAGTTAGACCGTATGTTAGAGTCAGAGGTGACAGTAGAGATTTTTGCTTCATTGTTTCATTCATCTTCTTTATCAACAGAAAAAATATATTTATAGACCTAAGAAAAGTTAAACAACATCAGATAACTCTATTGTTTTTGGGTAATAATATTCATAAAAAACTTTCTTGTTTCAGAACTTGCTAAACGTAAAGGAAGCCATTCTCATTCAATTTTTTAAAGCAAGCGTACATGGATGTAAGGTAGAAGCTGATCTTTTGATGGCAAATGCACTATTAAATACAAAAACGAGTGGCTAATTCAAAGCTTCTTTTCTATAGATATAATAGGCGAGATACTTCGGAGAAACTATGGATATAAGATCGAAACTTATAATTTCAATAAAGAACATGCCAAAAGCGAGAACTATTTCTGGGAAAGGCAAGAGGAGAGATTTCCCTCTTTTGTATTCGACACGAATATATATATATATATTTTACAGCCGAATCAATAATTCACTACAACAGTATATGAAACAAATGATTTAATTTCTGACAATTTAACATCAGTTTCCAATATTAAACTGCTTTTTATATGAAAATTATTATTTTTACTGTCGTCAAAACCGAAATAAAGCTGTATAATACACATTTTCAGAGTTCCACAATCATTTAAAACTGACGTAAAAAATTACGCGTTTGTGCATTTATAGCTCTTTCACAATATGTAGATTAATAGCTGAAGTAACTAAAGAAGATGCTTAACACCTCTTTAAAAGAAATGGTAACCTATGGAATTGCAACTACTAATATTCAGTTTTGGACAGCCCTATCCCAACATCATCATCACTAAACTTGCTCGATAAAGACTTGCGCAAATAAATATGTCAAGCTAAATGGAAGGAAAAAAAAGAATGATATTGCTTCTTATGCAAAACAGATGTCTGTGGTTTTTGAAAATCAGGTCAAAAAAGTAATCGATGACATGCAACTAGAGAAGAAGGTTAATGGCTTCGAACGCATTTTTATAGTAGTCTTTATAAATAAAACTAACTTTTCGTAAATGAATTTACCCTGGTAGTTGAAATGCCGAAACAAAATTATTTCTAAGTCAAGAAAATTAATTATTTCAACTACTAAGATGTATTCAGATTACGGAAAGGTTCAAAACCACTTTGATAATACCTGGCTCATTCGATATAGTGGAAGACATTTTCCTCGTAATTTGTCGTTACCATTAAAACAAATAATTAACCTAGAAGGGAAAACATTTTTTATGTTTATAATGTTGAGGATTTCCTTTTGAGGAACCTTTTTGTCAACAACACATTAAGCATCTCAATACTCAATAGGATATTAAAGATTTTAGGATACAAGCAATCTGAATATAGCTCTTTTCGATTCTCAGTTATGTAAGCTTATTATTTCCATCCTTAGTTTACAACAGTGAATATGAATCTATAAAACTGCTGTTCTTTTCGAAGTATGCCCGTAATAAATAACATCTTTTAAAAATTTGATAACTGCAGATAGGTCAAAATCACCCAAGGAAAAAAGTACATATATGAATTTGGGAACTATACATGAAATGATGTTATGAAAGATGAATGAAAATGATTTTATGAAAGTTAGAGGGTACTGCAGTCAAAATTTCCGAGATCTACTGTCGATTATTCTAAATTACGTTTTTCCTTGAATATGGGCGTACAGAAGGGTCTCTGGCGTGGGCAGCAAGTTAATGATACATATTTGTCAGGGCTTACTACGATGAAGATATTCATTAGCTCATTTGGAGACCGTTGATCACGTAAGTGATTCATCCCTGAAGTTTTAGTACATCAAATATGCTATGACAATGAGTCAGAGTGAAAAAAATGCGGCTAAATTAATTAATTTTATTTTATTATTAAAACAGCATGAAAAACCGTTCTGGAAAGGAAATGAGATGATTGAAGTTAATCATTCTGGTATTTTGAGTTCAAATTACGAAATATTCAGAATTTTTTAGTAAAATTATGAAATCTGTAGTATGAAATTATGACATTTTAACACTAATTATTTTAATACTTTTTTAGATCAAGGAACTGAAGCTGGCAATAGCTAAAATTTCACTGAATTTAACAACAACACATGGCTGAATCTTACGTTCATTCAAGCATATATTTATTGCCTGACACAAACAAAAGGATATTCTCCTATACTTGCATTTCCTTTTCACTTAGACCAATTTTTACTAAATAAATCTGATTTGAAAGACATGATGGGAAAGCAAAATTTGGCGATGTATTTGATTCAAGAAAACACATTAAGGGAAATTTTCTGCATTACGAACTTGTTTCAAGCCGGAAGCTATAGTAACAATTTATAAAATTATCAGGAAACAAAGAACGTTGTTCATTGTTTCGTGGATTTATCTTTATTCAGATTTCGAAATAAGACTGCTAAAGGAGGAAGATATGTATTCAAATGACAGATCTTGAGGAAAATATTTAAAGAATTACTCTAATAGTAGAAGTAGAATTTAGCCATTTTTTTTATTCAGTGACCCGATTCTTTGATAAATTCGTATACTATTTTTTATCCTTAAGAAGGGTAAAAATAAAAGGATAACATTTTACACACACATGAAACTTCCTCATATTCAAAGTCTTTAGTTCAATAGCTAGACTTGTTTATATTCTCTTTAAATTAAATTAAATTTTAAAAAAAGTTAAGCAGAAAAGATAAATTTGGAATAACCCCATTTCCGTAACAGGATAAGGTATTTATAAATTTATTGTATCCGAAATAAACTTTACTAGCAGAAATAAGCAAATTTCATTCAAGTAAAACTGCTCTTTTGCGAAGAATTTGAAAGAAATTTTATTTTCTTTTTCTTTTATTCTTTCCTTGAATTTTAAAAAAGAGTGATATTATAAATTTTCATGTAAAATATTTTATCTCTTGTAATTGAAAATGTACCTTAAGTAGGAGTAAAAAGATTTAATTTTATTTCATTATTAAGTAACTTTTCAGGAAATGAGGCCATTAAGATTCCCATTTAATTGCAATTACTGTAATTTTCTTTAGTCTCATGATTATAGAAAAAATATCAAGGTTGACAAAAATAAGAGAGAATTAATTTTCCATTCTTTAACCTATTTTTTGCTTACCATTCCAAATTTTTATCGAATCATCGTTTCAAGGAATTTGACTTTCAGTGGAATATCGGAACTTGCAATTTTGTGTGTCCTGCTTAGTTTAAGACAAAATTTTAGTATATAAATGGGCACACACGTTTTTTATTTATGAAATTATTTAAAGAAGTTAATGTAAATAGTTAAAAAAGTGTTTCAGAGTTTTAAGGGAGATTTTAGATAATATTAGTAGCTGTAAATTTAAAATGGCTCTAAACTGTTAATTCGCATATGATTCATTATTAGTCCAAAGAGGCTTTTTCGCTGAAGAACCATTGTTTTCGTTTTGCGATTTTATGTTGAAAACTTTAAAAGACTGAATCACGTTTCAAGTCGTTGCCACCAAATACTTGTATTATATTTGAAGAAATTAAATAATGAAGAATCTGCATAAATGTATGTATGTTTCTCGCATTGTGATAAAACAGCGGTACATAGAACCATCCAGTTTCGAATGACGTAATCCTACTGCGAATATGGGCATGTGAAAACCCAAACTAGAAATTTGGAATTTCTTTTATTATCGATTTCATATTTTGTAAAACTTTAACGAATTTTTGATTAACAAACTCAATGATTTAAAAGCGAGCAATGGCAACACTCTATGGGGGGGGGAAACCTTTTTATCTCCAGCGCTGTGTATCAGAGAAATTCTAAAGATATGCTCATTTTTAAAATGATTTTGCGACATTACTGTTGAACTGAATTTTATGGTTTAAGTGCAAAGGAACATAATATTTAATAAAGGTAACACACAAAACGTTATAAAAAACGCTCCTTCGGACGTGAATTTATAACCTTTCAGATTTTTTTTTAATATAAAATGTTTTTTATTTATTAGTATACATTTCTATAATTTTATTTGTATTTATCTATGTCTGGAAATAATATGTACACAACTTTGATAACTGAAGAACTTTCCACTGAGAATCGTCGTATCTGAAGAACTGCGAATAGAAAATGGAATTTAGCTTCTTTCTCATCCTTTACCTTTTATTACAGGCTTGATGTTTTTATTCTATTTACTGCAACAGAATTAATGACAACAGATATTTATCTTTCTTTTTTCTATATATATTTTACTTTTTCAGTGGAAACATCTTTTATTTAGAATTTGTAGCATTTGTAGAATCAAAAAATATTTAAACCAGTTCCTTAGATAAAGAAGAGACATTCTTACAGAAGGAGGAGTATTTTCTATTTGAATTTGTTTAACAAAAGTGTTATTTTCATTCCTAAATTACTATTGTTATGGATTTATAAGTATTTTTTTTTTTTTTCAGTTAGGGAATTTTTGTTCCTGTCTTAATGCATTTAAGTTTTGTGGTTTTAAATGAGAGTTCAATTTGTGTAAAATTTTAGTAATAAATTTCTATAACACATCTGGAATTAATTTAATTCCTAACTATCGAAACTGAATGAAGCAGTATAAAGTACAGCAGTGTCTCTCAGATTCTTATCACGTGGATTTTTTTTTTTTTAATTTAGAAGATGTTCATTGTTTTAATTTTAAATTGTTTAGAGGGCCGTGGAAAATTGCAATAACTTATACCATGGGTATAGAGCTAAAATTATTCTTTTAAACAGTGAACATCTTGAAATACATAATGCATAGTATTTATCTTAACAGTACTTTTACATTTATCAAACTAATTTATTCGGAATAATTGCTATTAATATGTTCCTTGAGTTAATTTGATATATAAAATTAAAAGTTCTTAGATGTTTATATTTCAGTGACATAAGCATAGTTTACGTATCGATTCGAAATTTTGTAGGTAGCTAGGCAATGGGCCCATTTAAGACGAAAACTACAAGGCAGAACGAATTTCAATCGTGTTCCCAAGGGATACCCAAGCACTTGTGCGATTAAATGCTACTAAAAACTTTTGTGACATTTTAAAAATGACAAAAATTGCTACACTTCTTCACATTCACTGTAGTGTGAAACCAACTGAAATTTGACCAATATGAAACGTAACAGCAGTACTTAGGAACAACATTTAAGAAACAGAATTATAAAATATTCATTTAATTTTTTTTATATAAATTTAGTCACTACAAGAGTTTTGAAAGTAATCTGGAAACAGCATTTACGAAATAGATTAAGCATTTTGGAAACAATTACTGGAATCTGCACAATAATAATTCAGAAACAAATTTCAAAATTAAAAAAATTTCCCATGCTTTCAGTCACTACAGGAATTTGAAAGAAATATACTAACAGTTAGAAAACAGAAAGAATACATAAAGATCTTATACAAAATGCACGTAAGCCTGCATAAATGACAAAAATATAGAAGTATATAGAAGCTGATTTTTTTTTTCTGTGACTTGAGTTTACTGGGCGAGATAAATTACAGAGCTACGTGTATTATTTCTTCAGTACGTATTATTTTCCTGTTAATTTTTGTTTAATTTAAAAATAAAAAACACATTCATTGCTTTATAAATTCGTACAACTGTTTCTGCGGTTTTAACCGGCATAAATAAATAAAAATATATAAAACAAAATAGATTTCATTTCTGGTGTGATTAGCATCAACGAAAGAGTTCATTAATTTTGAGTTAATTTTTTAACACAAAGCCGACTGCACAAATTCTAATTAATGATCTTTCAAAATTACAAGTGTAATTAATATGAAGAATAATGTTTGCAATTGTCATAGTACCTAATTTGGTGGTCGTAAGGAAAAAGAATTAAAAGTTCGAACAAAAATGCATAGACAGGGAAAAAAAAAAAAAAAAAAAACTTCAAACTCCCTGGAATTGCGAGTTTGTGGGAAGGGGGGGATATTGTTCGCTGCTGACCTGCGGATAAAATAGTCGGTCAAATGAAAGGTTAAAGAGAAGTTGCAGATATACGCTTAACATTCCGGTAATGAATGTCGTAACTTAAGAATGCCTCTGAGAACGTGTTTAGAATGTTGAGTTAGAGGCAGTATTAAGGTATTAAGGAAATGGTTGGGAAAATTTTTGAGAAAAGGAAGAAACAAGTTTCAAAGTACTAGACATTCTATAAATTTAAGTCTGTCTGTCCTTCTGGTTTTTAAAACAGGAAAGATTAAATCATTGTAACTGAATACAATGCTGTCTTTAAGGAAACAGCACCTTAATTTCGAAAGAGTATTCTTAGATTTTTTTCCCTAATTCATTTTTAAGATACGCTGCGATATTCGAATGGATAAAAAAAGTTTTACCTTATACTTTGAAAATGTTAATACACATTCTGCATTTAAATAAACTTATTTTATCCTATTTTTTTTTTCCCATAAAATACGTTCTTAGTGAAATTCAAGTATTATCATTATTATCGTACAAATCACAGCAAATAGTAATGTTAACTATTTAAAGAGAACCTTTTTTTAAAATTAATAAGCATTTTTAATTTTTAAAATGTTTAAATATAAACATTTTAAATATTTTTTAAATTATAAACGGCAATTTTTAATAACTTGTAGTTTTCAGTAGTTTTTAAAAATTATAACGTTAAAAAGATAGTTTTTAGAATTTAATAATAGATTTTAAAGTTCTGGATCTTCACAGATAAACTTCAAATTTCATGACGTCCACGTCTTCCATGAAAAGCCATTCTTAATACTTTAAAAGAATAAAGTAAAGTTAAATTTAATTTTAAATAATTCTCTTGCGCCATTGCTGTAAGGAATGAAATTTGAATTTAACAAACATTCTATTATTTTGTTTTTGTACAATTAAGGGAAATAATAATGATTAAGAATAAAAAAATGAATTCGGCATACGAAATCTAAATTTCATCAAAAATATAGCGAGATTTCTACTAAATTGTCTTAACTAGATGATGGATGTAAGATTAAAAGCCTCATAAGGGAAAAATAAATTTTCAGAAAAACAGATATTAAAAAAATTAATCATATCATTATAAAAGAATAAGAATTGTTTAAAAATAAACAACCATTTAAGCATTTCAAAGATATTTAAAATCACAAAATGTTTTAATCAAATTTTTTTTTTTTTTTTTTTTTTTTTGCCCATACAATTCATAGCACTGTTCTATACTGGTAAATAATTTACTTATGAAAAATTCTTTATCCAGAATTAGACGCTATTCTAAATGCTTAATACATAGCTTTTACAGTAGGTAGCAAATACGCTACATTGCTTATGAAACAGTTCAAAGCGAGTCAAAATGTAAAAACTTAATTGATGCTATTTGCTCTCGTTTAAATTTTTTAAAACGGTAGCATTTAAAAATCATATTTTAATTCGATTAAAAGTTAGTGTTTAGTACTAAATCAAAGTGAAAAGCTCAAACATTTAGCAAAATTATTTTCAGTTTCTTTTCCAGTATGAGAATTTGAAGTTCAGAAAAATAAATGAATTTAGAAGAGAAACTGAAGATTATTTAACTGAATTTAGAGAGAATGTACCAATTACACTTACTTCTTCGAGAGACATTTTTGCAAGTAAGAAGTAAAATCCAAGAGAAGCTCTGGAAAGTTAGCACGATTTGCAGTCAGAAGCTGATTGTGGTTTTCGAGTAGCGGGAATCCATATTTTGTAGCCGCAGCTGAGGAAGCGACGCCTGGTGAGCCGCGCTCCAATTACTGCACAGTTTTCCCCCCAATGACGTGAAAGAATGAGTCATAGCAAATGCTCTTCCTTTTTCCTCCACACAAAATGTAACACCGGCAAAACCAGGAAAACATAAAAGGTGCTTGAAGATTTAAAAAATGAATAAATAAACAAGAAATGTAAACTAACTTTCTGCATGAAAGCCTTATGTTTAATCTTAAGAGGTGATTCATAATCCGACCTTTTTCTTCCGTTGAAAAAGAGGAAGTTATCTGATCCACCTGTCAATAAATAGTCTTTTAGCACTGATTAAACTCTTAAAATAAGGTATTAAGAGGGGAATTCAATTTTTGTTCCATTTTAAAGTCACAGTTTTTTTTTTTTTTTTTTTTTTTAATCAGTGGCCTAGAGTTGACTTATCTGATTTCTGAATTTTATACACTTAGTTTTTAAAGGAGTAAGATATTTTGGATGACATTTTGAAAAAATTCAGAAGTTATCTTTACTGTCATTAATTTTTAATTTGTTGTATAATAGCTAATATTAAACATACGAATCGCCAATGCTTCGTTAATATACACCATACCTTATTTTATCCGTCATAGAAAACGATGTTTAAAGAGAATTTTAAAACCGAAACCTATTTCTTTTTAAATAGCTATTCTTGTTTCCGTAGATTTTGCATGAAAAACTCCCAGTAACTCGAAAAACATTTTCTGACGTACAGTGGCTCACATTTGTTATCGGATACTTGTATTTATTATCATAGACCTTGTACTGAATATTGAAATATAGACTTCGAATTTTTTTAATAATTTTTCCCTCTATTTTATGCGTTGCTTACTTTAAAGTAGATATCATGAAAATATTTCTTGTAATAGAATAATTTATTCAGAAACTAAAGTTATCAGTAAATTACATAATAATTTGGACACTCCAAATTTTTGTTGTGATGTTTTGCTAGACAATGTTCCTTTTTCTCAATGTTTAATGTATCATGTTCAATTTATAATTTTTTCTTTTAAATGAAAATTTATCGTCTGTTTTTGGAAATTTTTACTTTAGCAAAATTTATTAATAGTTCCACATCTAAAGTGACGGCAAAATGCTGCAAATTAACGACCAACTCTGTGAGAAATGTTGTAGAGACATTAATTTTTTTTTTTTTTTTTTTTGAGGCCGGAGAAATGAAAAATTAGCAATCGTCTTCGCCGGGAATCGAACCACGGACCTCTGGAATACCGGCCCAGCATGCAGAACCATTACACCACGAAGGCACGCTAGGAAAGTGGGAGAAACACCTTATAATGTAATTATTCATTTTTTTAAAGATAGTGAAAGTATCCAAAATGTCAAAAAAGATTCCTTGTCCTTCCTTCAACATCTTCAGGACATCCTGTCATATCCCGGGACATAGCGACTTAAATAAGACATCCTCAGGATGTTAAATTACGATCTCCTCAGGACATCTGAGAATCAACATCCTTAGGACATCCTAAGTATGTCCCGGGATATTGCGACTTAAATAGGACATCCTGAGGATGTTTTGTGCTATGGGGGTGATATAAAGCGTTTAACTACTTTTAATGAAATAAAACGATGCAAACCACGTAAAACTGTTGAAAATGCACTAGGGTTTGGAACATATTTCAAGCTAAAATCGCAGACACTTTTCTATAAAAAATTAAACAGCACTTAAAAATTAGTACTGCAAAATACTCAAGAGATTTAGAAGAACGGTTTGCCGTAAAAGTTAACCCTGAAGCGTAACGAAGATGCACTTAAGGCACAATGAGCGATCAGCAGGAAGGAAATTGTAAGCCAACAAGTAAACAAGGAAAATGCGCCTGGCGTTTTCAAAATCTATTATAAGCAAAGTTTTATCATATTGTTGCAGAAATTTCAGAATTCAATATATATTTATGGCTTATAGACGAATTAATAGGTGGAAATATCCGAATTCAGAATTGAATTTGAAAAACCTATTGTCTACTGTTAAGCAAGAGAGTGGAGGCGTAATGATTTAGGGGATGTTTCGCTGCCTTTGGCATAAGAAATTTAATGTTTATCGAAAATAATACGAATTGGGATATATATACATATAATTTAAAGTAAAGTAGAAAGAACAAACGATTGAAGACCTACCTATGTGGTCAAAAATTTTGCGCATTGTGCTGCAAAATTAAGGAATTAAAAGAAAAATTCTAGTACGCACGCTAAAAAGCTGCTTAAATACTGTGATTCCGCGAAAACTTTAACATAAATAAAATTGGTTGCAATGAAATGTGTCAAAAGAGAAAAATACATTTGATTATTTACAAGTAAAAATCAACAATAATAGTAAGCTATATGCTAAACTAGTTAAGTATATTTAAAACATAGTAAAAGTATTAACTAATTAAACGAGTTAAAATTAAAATTAAGAAGCGGTAAATGGTCGATTAGCCCAATTATATGGCTCGTCACTATGGCACGTCAGGGGAAATATTTTTTAATGAACTTCGAACTAAGCTAACTCCATCACGCGTTTCGCCGAAACAGACAATTGGAACTGTACTCGAACATTTTTCAATTAATTAAATAAACTATGTCAAAAACTTTAGTCTCAAATATATATATACAAAGAAATATAAAAATAGGACCAAAAATTAGAATTAAAAAAATATTTTAAACATTCGTCATGCGCTATAGCTGCAGGATTGAAGTAGCAACTTACGGCATCTAAATTTATTATTAAATTGGAATAAAAACGAGGCAATTCATCTATAATATAATAATTGCAACCGTATATAAGAGGTTTAACACAGTATCAAAACAAATCCAATTAAAGAAGGTATTCATAGTAGAACAAACTCATATAAAAATTAATCTCCCTTTTATTGAAACTCCAATTCAGAACTCATCAGGGGAAAACGGATTAAAGCTTCATAAAAGTCGATTAATGTGTTTCGATAATATGTTTCGTTCTCCTGGTACATTTAGATCAAAACCCGTAAAAAGATTTCATCAAATTTTTATTAAGGACATTAAAATTCAAATAAAACCGAAAACTCGAATCTCAAATGTACCAGAATTTTTTCTACACATTTCCGAACCACTTGGAAAAAAGAATAAAACATAACATTGTGCCAAAATGACAATCAAAAAACTACAGAACTTTACATTATGTACATTGAGATTAAAAAATGGTCTAAAACCAATATATGCTAATACGAAATTCAAAAGCAAGTATAAATAAAAAGCAAAACTAACAATCAATAAACAAAACTAAAAAATTGGTAGGTCCCCGATTATGCTAAACTAAACTTTTAATACTAAGAAAACGAAAAACTCTATATAGATATTTCTATAAATAAAAATGTCAAATCTGAGTTTCTAAAGAGTTAAAAACTGAAATCCTATTTGAAACAATAACTGAAAAAAAAAATGAAAAACGCAAACTTCTGAAATCGTAACACGACCTTCTATGCGTAATCTAACTGAATTCTAAAGACGACCAAGCTGTATTCTCAGCGAGAAAGTTTGAAATGCAAAGTACTTTCAAGTTCTATCAGAACAGCGATCCTAAACATAGAGCCCTAAATGTTTGCTTTTGATTATTATGCAACTGTCTTGAAGTTATCAAAACTTCTTCATATTCTTCGGACTTAAATCTTATGGAACATATAGAAAGCCAGCTGGAGAAAGAATAGGGAAACATGACATTTCTTCGAAAGCTGTTCTAAAGTCTATTCCTACGAAATAATAGCACAAAATAAAGCATTCTTTGTACACGAAAAAATTTATTGAACCCATTGAAGAAGGTGCATAAAAAAGTGTAATTTTATCTGAAGGATATCTAACGAAATACTGAATTTCATGCTATTTTCGTGTTTTTATTAAATATAGCTTCTTTGATCAAAGTATCCGGATACTTCTGTAAGTTCTTTTTAAGAAATTTTTGAATAATTTTTTTTAACCCAAAACATTTCGAATAAATTGCAGGTCTTCGTGTAATAGTGGTTAGCACACTTCACGCCTATTCGAGAGGTCCGTGGTTCGAGACCCGGCGAGGGTATTTCTCATTTTTCATCTTTCTTGCTTCGAAATAACCTAATGTCTCTACAGTGGCGCCCGAATTAAAAAGGGTGGTGGATGATGATTCTCCACCACCAGGATTTTGCGACTCGGTTCCCTAATCCCCAGTCACCCTTAAAAAGGGGAGTATATAAGGTATTTCTCCCGCCTTCTTAGCGTGCCTTAGTGGTGTAGTGGTCAGCACGCTCGACGCGTATTCAAGAAGTCCTTGGTTCGAGTCCCGGCGAGGGCACTGTTCCTTTTTTCTTCTCTCTTGCTTTGAAATAACTGTTAACAAAACAAGTATATAACCAATACTGTACTTGAAATCAAAATAAGGTGATTTTGCTAATTTTTAATAACTGATATTTGCAAATAAAACTTAAAAGCACAAGTGTCCGAAAACAAATCTGAGACACTGCGTTTCATTTGATTCATTGATAACTGCATAATTTCACAATTGCCGTTATATTTTCAATAACGGTTTAAAATTTCAGGAATATTCTTTAAATTTTTCTTATGAGGATTATTTTTCAACTCCTTTATTTCAGGGACGAGGAGAACTTTTTATCCCCTAATTTCAAACGTTTAAAAGTTTGCCATTAAAGTTTTCAAAATTAAAAAAATTGCACAGATTTAAAAAATATAAAATGAATGTTTAAAAATATAAAATTTGTGAAATAATGTTATAAGGTATTTCTCCCGCCTTCCTAGCGTGCCTTCGTGGTGTAGTGGTTCTGCACGCTGGGCCGGTATTCCAGAGGTCCGTGGTTTGATTCCCGGCGAAGGCGATTGCCAATTTTTCATCTCTGTGGCTTTGGGAAAAAAAATCCTAATGTCTTACCTACGGAACTAAAAGGATTGTGGCGCGAATCTAACTCAGGGTTTGGGATGAGGACTTGGCTCTGAACTCTCAGGATTTTGGCGATTGGGATCCTCCCTAAAAACCCCAGTCGATCTTTAAAAGGGGG